GTTTGGAAAAAGTATCTGAAGTATAGGTAAGCACTTGTTAGCAATTGGAAAAAACTGTAATTAGGATCGGCGTGGATAAAAGCGGTGGAAGCCGGTAGGGGGGGCGTGGTCCGATTGTTGCTGTGACACTCCTGTGAGCGACGGGAATTGTGGTGAGCGGTTGGTTCCGGTTCCGGGTCCGGGTCCGGGTTGCGGTGCAAGGTAATGAGTAATAGTGGTTGGAAGGTTGTTACGCGAAAAGAAAACTGCACCCCGCATGTAAGGGTTGTCGATCTCTTCCCAGGCTGGGTGCTGGGTGACAAGTGTCTGGGTTTATGCTGCTGCTCAGGTAGGACGCAGGTGGACACATGTTGTGTAGAATAAATGTTGAACTTGTGTATCTCGTGAGTATGGTCTGAAATGGGTGTATATGTTTGCAGGAGACTGTCACTGCTGTTTTGCCTGTTTTGATTGTTTTGTCAGATTATGTGGGGTGTATTGGTATGGTTGTGAATAAGGGGTGGTTACCAGGGCTAACTGGGTACTGGCTGGTATAGTGGGTGGGGGGTCTTGAGGGTGTATTATTGACCGTTTCCCCATCTATAGAGCCAGTGAATGTGGTGCTGGAGTTTGGGAGCTGGAGGTTGTTTCCTGCACTGCATGGAGTGAATGTGGGGTGAATTATAGGTACTAACTCCAGGATGTGGTTTGCTGTGATTTTTGGTGTTAACTCCCCCTTGGATATGTGAGTCCTTGGTGTGTATGTGTGTGGTGTTTCCTCTTCCCTTTCTTTTCCTCCAGGTAAGCACCTTCCCTGGCTGGCTAAGGGGTCAAGGCAGGATTATAGAGTGGGGCCACCAGTGCCTGGGTTTTGCTCTCGACCCCCTATTTTTCATGTTTTGGTTTTAGTGGTGTTATATGCTGATAATTGTTTATCGGCTTGGAGGTTTTAAATCTTGTTAATAAACTGTTTTAATTCTGGGATATGCGTCTCTGTGTTCATGCAAGGTGGCTGTGGGTGGAAGTTCTGGGGGGTTAATTAAACATCCTAAGGGGCAGGGCCTTGGGTGGCGTAGTCTGGTTCTGGCGTAACCTTGCAGCCCAAGGTTACAATAGAATCGGTTTTAGAATCGATTCATTACAACGGACAGTTCGAAAGAATCGAATCAGTTAACTGAGCCAAACTCCCCCATCACTACTCCTGCGCATCCAATGAATCGCGCTTGCGCCATCATTTATTCACATTAGGCGATTACGTCAATTAGGGACTTTTAGCTTGCAGCCAATAGCGACTTTACTTACTGAAGAGTTGGCAACAGTGTGCCCTGTTCCCGCTCGTTTAGTAGCAGTTGATGCGCATTCCCAACTAGCTGCTAATGTATATCTGGCTTGGTATAGATATATTTTGAATAAAATATGGCAACTGTAAAGTGAATCATTATTACTCAATTATTGCATTATTATAATTAATC